ACCAGGAAGAGATGTTGAGGAAAACACAAACGCTGGACTTTCAACAATGAATCGAAGTGATAAGAGATGATTGAGTTGATGTAGATCTACGAGTACAGCATCAATTAAAGAATCTCGTCCAAATAAGTGCAATTCGAATGATTGTAGATTGATAAATTGTTTGATACCGCCGAGGATTGAGAAAAATAGCTGCAGCTGGCCGGACGTTTGGTTATCTTCAGATAGTATGAGAGAAATAACTTGACGAGAACAAATATAACGATAGATTAAATCAAAATACAATTTAGAAATGAAATAGAAGTTGAGCCGATGTGGTGGATATGAAGCGAGAAGACCGACATTCAATTGTCGATTTACATTACGAAGTGAGAAGAAGAGATCGTATGATGAAAGACAATCGAAAATGGACCAGATGAGTTCAATAAATAGAGTGTCAAGATTCATTCTAGATCTTGGCAATGAAACAAACATGATGATGTGAAAATGAGGAATGAACATAATGTATTATCCTGGAATAGTGGCCAACATTGACCGACGGTTCAAGATAATGCTCGTCAAAACAGCAAAAATGCACATATATTCGGGAAGGAGAATAATCATCAAAAACTGATTAATTTAGAATAGTATTTAGATGCCAAACAAAGAGTGATGATTGTATCTAATGTTCAATATTTTTGTTAAAAGAATGCATTTTTAAAATCATGTCAGAATGTAGTGAAGAACGACGTATAAGTCTGTGATCAATTAAAATAATATAGATAGTATCATTCATAAAATTATTTGTGGTTAGAAGAAGGAGAGCAAGAAATGTGCGAAGCAAGATGACTGATAAACAATACACAGATAGAACGATTTACAAATAATTGTGAGGAAGAAAGGAGGAAAACAACGATAACGCAGGAAGTATATAAACAAATAACCGATAATTATCTGTCACATTATTTCGCTTCTAAGTGAACTTTCATTCTTATTAAAACATTTTCTCAAAAACTCTGTTATTCATTCAAAGTACAATGAAAGTATTTTGTTTTCTTCATCATCATTGAAAAGTTCAATCGAGATTGCTCTTAAAAGATGGGAGAATCTAACATAAATTTTTCAAACTTTTCATATCACAAACGAATAGAATTGATGAAAATTGTGAAGATTCGATTTTCAATCCTTTTTTTCTGAATCGGTTCTATGTGATTAACTAAAAACCATAGAAATAAATTCTGCTTGATCATAATTATTTTATAGAATAATGATATAAAGAAGTAATACAAATCAGTGAAAAATTCTCCATTTATTATGAAATTTATGAAAAAACTTTTAGACTTTAATTTAAAAAAAACAATGACAATTTCCAGATGTTTATTAAATAGTTGTAGTTAATATTGATTTTTTTCATTCAATTTTTTTTGAAATTCTTATATGAAATTTCATATATGGTTTGAGAAGCTGGTATATTTTTCGACGAATACACTATATAAAGTATTTTCCATGGATAAATATAACAAAAGAAATAAAACATAAAGTTAAGACTCATTTTAAACATGAACTTAATTGACTTTTCAAATTTTTATATTAATCAGTGAGATGTTCTTTGAATTCATCTAGACCTGTCCAAAAAAAAAAAGATTTCCTTTGATTGCAAATAGACCTGTGTACGAAAAAAAATGCGTAATACCCTTCATTGAATGTTGTAAGCTGAAAGTTCAAGCTTCAATTTTAATATGAATGTTATTGTAATTAGAAAAAAAAATCTTAAAGATTCGTGTGTTCTACAATGAGAAATGTCGGTATATTAGTCAAAATGAGTAACTTGCTCGTTTTGTCTATCTGTTACTTTTCATATTCTTTTACTTTGATAAATGGATTAAAATGAAAAAAAGTTACTCATTTGATCTAATCGATAAGATTTGCATATGCGACATTTTATCCTTTATGGACAATGTTTGAGATTATGAAAAAGATCAGATAAAAAAAAACATTTACGAAATCACGTCAACAAAAGATCACATTATAAAAAGAACAATATTAGCAATATTGGGTGTCGTTTACTTGGTACATTTTAACGAATGTTTCATCGCATCACTACTTACTACAAAAATGAACTTGCTCTGTATTTTTCTGGCAATTACTTTCATTATTGTCAGCAGTAATCAACTGGAACTAATACAACCGCCAAAAGAATATTTCTTGAAAGACGTCACAATCTCATTAGAACGTACCGCTTGTTTTTTTGGCATGTGTCCTGTTTATTCGATGACGATTCAGGGCGATGGATTGGTGATCTACGAGGGACGCGAGGTTGTCAAAATCAAAGGACAAAAGAAAAAGCAAATTTCAGCCAACGATGTGGTGAAACTGTTGCGCAAGTTTTATGAAATTGATTTCTTTTCGTTCAAAGACAAATACAAAGAGGAACGAGACATTTTGGTCGAGCCAAATGGAAGGATACATGAAGTTACAATGATGGTAAGCGACCTGCCCACAACCTATATCCATCTTCGTATCGACAGTTATCAAAAGAGTGTGGAAGATTATTACCATGCGCCTGACAGTCTTGGACAGTTGGCAAAACTGATAGACGACATAAGCAGTGCTGCCGACTGGGTGGGGAACAGTGCCGCATTTCAATAACTCTTTTTTTTTCTATGTTAACTAATAATCATTATTCACGGATCGCAGCGTCCTGATTTTTCCTGTGGGGGACGTCCTATTTGAAAATTTTTTTCGCTGAGAAAAATCAGGACGCTGCGATCCATGATTATTCTATTTTTTATTTCTGAAGACAAGAATCATCAAAAAAACGATAATAAAGAATGTATCACTACCAATGTACAACACACAGTCATTTGTAAACGAAAGGGTGGGTGTTGGTGTGGGTGTGGGTGCGGTTTGGGCGAGTCAAGCGAAGACTCAAACGCACACTCACACACCACACCTGCACCTACAGCCACAGCCACACCGTCATCCACACCCACACCCACCCACGTCAATCGACGAGAAATTTTATGCATGATTAGATTACAATAGAAATCCAGCGAATGCTCTTTTATTCCACGAAACGCTTAACAATATATCTCTTAACTGATGAAGGAACACTAGTATGCTTTCGACTCACAGCTATTGAAAACGCCATTCATCCAGATTGTTTTACATATTTTAATATATTGTGGTCACTCCTAGCATTTTGATGTATTTTTGTGACTCAAGTCAAATAATCTGAAGAGTTTAAAAATCGAATTATGTTATACAAAAAAAGAAGAATATCCATAATTATCACGAGCAATATCGAACGCACTGATAAGTGTGCGCCATCGTTGTTCATCTAATTCAATGTTATCAAATGTCTTCTTATTATGCAATATCTTTTTATGAACTCGAATCAATTTGTTTGTACCAGGTGGCGCTGTGAGGAGGCAATCATTTGACATAGTAATAAAAACGATGAGTGAAGAAATAATGTCATCATTCAAGTCACGTCGCTCAGCATACAACTTAAGAAACGACATCACGGGTAATTCAACGTCACGAAAAAAGAGTACATAATCTTGTAATAATCGTAAAAGACGTTCTAACATTTCGTTATTGATGTTTTTTAGTGCAGACGGATCAATCTTCAACCTCCATATTTCTTTGCCGTCTGCCACATCTCGACGATTTAAGTTGGCGAAAGATGCATAATTGTGTAAAAGTTCTTTAAATTCAACAGGAGTAGTAATCGGTTCGCGCCCTTTGGCTTTTTTCTGTGCTGTTTTCACTACTTCTGGTATTTTAGTTTTGTCATCGACTGTGTATAAAGTAAACGATTTGAAGTCAATACCTAAACGTTTGAGATTGCCTGTAGTAGGCCCTTCCTTAATCAAGCGGTGTAACTCTTTCACTTTTTCCGAAATAATGTTATAAATTTCTCGAAGGGCAACGATATTTTTCGTCGACCACAAATCAGGTAGAAAATAGCGTCGTTTTGATGAATCTTCCATAATCATGAGCTAGACGATTTTTGTTCGAAATCCAGGTCTGAATGGCATCAGTCGTTCTTCTGTTAATTTGGTCTTGCTCGCGAGGAAATGCACAGCTTCCAATAGGAAACCAGTACATAATACGAGAACAATGTCGAAGACCGACTAAATCCCGTGGTTCACTATCGACAGCTGACCAAAACTGATCAGTGCATAAGCTGGAACGTTTCAACTCGAAAAATAAGCGAAAAGTCACACATAAATGACGACTATATTTTTCGTAGGTTATAAATTGAACTACTTCCCTCTGTTGTTTCGTTCCAATGCTTAACGGCAATGCTTTGATCATGTAACGAGCGCAAAGGTACTCTTGAAAACTACGATGAACAAAATAGTAGATGTTCTCGACGAGTATGGGAGAAGGATTTTGCGTTTGGGGTATAAGTAAACCAATCTGAAGTACGGGAAGAAATTTTGGACCTGTAATTTTGGCTATTTTATCTCCATCCACTTCGAATTCATGTAATTTTGTTGCTTCGAATGCCAGACATTCCAAGTAGATCATGGGCATGGCGTTAGGCAATTGATAGACATCTGTCCCAGCTAGAGCAGATGTACATTGCTGATGGAATTTCAGAAGATATCGTCGCAATAAATATTCACACATTTTTTGATAGAGTTGTCCCATTGTCATGTCCAAGTCTAATTTTTTCTTATCATTGTCCCATAAACTACAAATGATTTCCAGACATGCAGGAATACGCGCTGTCTGTAGCAATTGTTCAGACGAACGAATAAATGACCAACATTCGATCGCTGTCATTCGAAACATGATAGAACAATATTTGTTTATATAGTTTTCAATATCCTGATATGTAAAACCTTGTATCTGAACCTGGACATCATGGTGAAAATCATATATTACATATGGTCTAGATGTTAAAAGCAGATGCGGTTTAGCTAATAATTGCTCTTCGATTAAATGTAAATGTTCTGGAACTATTCGCTCGTCCAATCCGTCGAGAATCCAAAGGATATTTGATGAATCTGTTAGCTGAAATTTTAATTTGAGTTTCTCTAGTGGAACAAGTTCATACCCTTGAAAACATTCTTTTTCAATAATATCGATCAATGAATAGTTATTGGATTGTAATGGATATCTTTTTGAATTTAAATTTCGCATTTTAATATAGAATAACCATTCGAATTTACTTTTCCCTATTTTGGTACGAGCCCATGAATACGTTATATACTGACAAACTGTCGTCTTCCCAGAACCAGCTTCACCAAGTACCAGAACACGATTTTTGACGAAGAGACTTTCAAGATCAATTGGTATATGGTCTTTTTCAAATTGTAAAGGAACATATTTCTCTGTCAATAGTTTGCAACCCCCTCTAGTAAAAAAACTTGACAGTTGCCGATAATAATGTTGATAACTGGCTTTGAGTTTTTGTTGGAGGCGAATTTTCAGTGCAATAGGCAGAATAATTGGGTCGTCTTCCATGGCTAATAAAGCAAAACAAATTGAAAATTCGATTGGATCACGCCGATGATTCTCTTTACAACGGCTCGCAAGTAGATTTGCATTGTCTTTTTCGAATGATAGTAATTGTTCACAAAGTTTCTGATGTGTTGGACCTAGACGTATCCGAAAACCGGGTTCAAAACATTTGACAAAACAATTAGCGGCTGCTTGTTCAGCAATACTGGGTACATTTGTAATTCGTTTTTTTTTGAGATTTTGAATTTGTCCATTAAGATTATAGATCAATGAGATTCCTTTTTTTGGTGTTAAATCTCGTTTAACACTATCAACTAATGAAATAAAATGATTTGAATTGTTTTCTAAATCGTTCATATTCAGTTGACCAAGTATTCTTGGTTCAATTAGGTTGTATCTATCTGCGGTAGGATAGATTCTGTGAGCCCCTGGTGGATTACCAGAGCTAGGATTGTCAATTCGGATAGAAATTTTGTGAGTATCGTCAATACGTCGGAATGAAACACAAACAGCATGTGTCATCCAGCCAGTTGGAATAGTATATTCATGATTAGGTTCAAGCTTTTCTATTTTACTAATAAGATTTTTTGCAATATATTGATAATATTCGATCAATAATGGTTGCGATAATTCTATTACAGTATATTCCTGATTCATCATTTCTGTAGTTATTTCTACTGGAATATGTGAAATACCATCGAGAAAATAATATGTTTCTAAATTGTGTAAAAGTTCGTTTTCAACAATTGTGAGCATATCATTGTTAGAATTAATTATCATTTCGATCATTTTCCGGAAGAGAGTAAAAATACGTAGTTGAAGAAATATTTCATATGTAGATCCGGCACTCAAACTTTGTCCACGTAGTTCGGCCTTATCATAATCATGGACAGCAGCAATAACAGTATGAAACTCTTCTTTAGGATAACTGCTAATATGAGTGTGAAGAAGACGACTCACAATATATTCTAGAAGCGTTTCATTTTCTTCCTCTTGCGAAGGATCATAATGATTAATATAGAATCCCAAATGTTTTTCCAATTGCGTCTTTGTTGGTCTATTACGATGTTCATAGAGATAACAAAGCGTATTGTGCCATTTGTTTTTTGCAGCCAATTGAATAGGAGAGGTAAACGTATCAGTACTATAATCAAAATGAGATAAATTGCAATCGGCGCCTTGATCAATTAGTTGTTTGATCTTGCTTGAATTAGAATTTACATTGATCATGTTATATAATTCATTCTCGAGCGTGTTAGCCATATCAGAAGAGAGATGTTTGATTCGTTCTTCACTACAAAAAAATGAAATCATGCCACTGAACTGTCTAAGTTATAACATGTCTTAAGTATCTTTTATTTCTTCCTTTTTCTTTGAGTAGGTACATGCATATTCATATTTTTTTCTTATTTATTTTATTTAATACTTGTGTTTATGTAAGTTTAATTAATATGCCCACAACATTCGAGGGTGTTACTTAACGACAAGCAAATGATAAAAGAAGAAGTAAATGTAAAAGTATTAGTTCTTCAATAAATAATAGAATACAGATATTCATTTGCTAAAGTGTTCAACAATATTTCTGTTCGGAAAAAAGTCTTTATATAGTCGAAGTTTTTCACGATGGTAACATGGAAATTGATCAAGTTTCTTTTTGATAAATCATAAAGGAGAGAAAAAAAGAATTCTTCTTGATTTTCAGGAATTATAATCTCAGGCACAATACATAGTGCGGACTATTCTAAGTTAAATACCTAGTTAGTTGCTGACTGGGGACTGACCCACTAAAACCCGTGCTGCAACAGAAAAGGACTATTTGTTGTCGTTTTAAAGGCATTTTTCCATTGTGCATCGCTTTTGTAACGGCGAAAATGATAACCTCTCATAAAATGAACAAATTCAATCATTTTAAGGAGCCTCCGCTTCTAAAACCCATCGTTCAGTTTAATTAGATGGTCAGACACCATGGAATGTTTTGAGGGAATAATCAAAATCAGTTTCGATATAGTGATATGTATAGACATTATCCGTCAATCTAATCAGGTTAAAGACAACTGTACAATACTTAAGAGAGGATCCACGAGCGGATCGAGTATACGAGATGCTCGATAAAAATTGTTTTTGATCATTTGTGCTTATTCAATGCATCAATGTCTAAAACCACCAACCCCAAAACTTTTAGTTCTAACACCTTTCCTTTGAAAAATTAGCCAATACCGACTTTTGACACTATCATACCTTTTCAGAAAAAAAAAGAAAAAGTACTCAATAGAAGATGTCCTAGCTTACGTTTCAACAGATCATAAAAATTTTTCGTGGTATATATCAGAAGATAGAGAATTAAAAGATGAACAAAATGAGCTATCTGAATATAATATAATGTTTAACAACTTAAGTTTTACAAAGTCAACATGAGTCAAAGAGGATCAGGGTGTGGGTGTGAAGTTGGGTGTGGATGATGATGAAGAGAACACCCTTACTCACAACTACATCCACAACCATACCTGTGGCCCCCCACAGTTATATTTAAGAGAAATTTTTCTCCCTGACCCTCCACAGGCTAGTTTTGGACAGGAAAAAATTTTCGCTGAAAAGTATATGGTTAGATACGGTTTTTGATATTGATTCAAAATATCGTATTTATTTTGCTTTAACGTTTTGTCAAGGCAATGAAAACCGCTAAAAATGTTCGTTTTCTATTGAAAAACTATCAAAAACCAGGAGGTATAAGCCCTGTTTTGCACTGAGCAGCCCATTTTTTTAAATACTTTTTTACCATTTTGTAGAGAAAAAAAGCTGCACAACATATATAAAATTCAGTCTAGGGTCTCATGATTCTGAGACACAGTATAAGATATACTGTTTTATTTGAACTGAGAAAAGTGATCCCCCTTTGACTCATGTTGACTTTGTAAAACTTGAGTTGTTAAACATTATATTATATTCAGATAGCTCATTTTGTTCATCTTTTAATTCTCTATCTTCTGATATATACCACGAAAAATTTCCATGATCTGTTGAAACGCAAGCTAAAACATCTTCTATTGAGTACTTTTTCTTATTTTTTTCTGAAAAGGTATGATAGTGTCAAAAGTCGGTATTGGCTAATTTTTCAAAGGAAAGGTGTTAGAACTAAAAGTTTTGGGGTTGGTGGTTTTAGACATTGATGCATTGAATAAGCACAAAAGATCAAAAGAAATTTTTATCGAGCACCTCGTATACTCGATCCACTCGTGGAGCCTCTCTTAAAGAGCAAGTTGTTAGTGCGCAATTTGATGGGATTAAAACATTCAACTCGTATCAATCTTCACCTTCTATAACAGACAACATGGCTTTATTTGCAATATGATCGCATTCATGAATTTTTTTACCTTTTTACTTGTAAAAATTTGAATTGTTCGTTTGGACATTTGGGCAGCAACGATTGATTTTAATTTGTTATTATTGTAATAGATAGCCCTTAGTGGAACACCTATTTTACGATGATCAACAGTGCTAGATCTTACCGTTTTGCTTCAATAATGTTATATTAAGGAACATAAAGTACTTTGTGCAAGTTTTTCTGTAAACATGTGCAATTGCTAATGTTCATATAAAAACTTAAAGCATACAAAAAAGGAAAAATCATCTCAAATTTTTATGTATATTTATACAATTTATTTCCAAGTGTTATCGAAATAGTTTTTTTAAGTTTCTGACCCATTTAAACGGTCAAAAATGCGAATATTCTATTAATCAACTTAATACAAGATGATAAATGTTTGCCACCGTTGAGACTATTTCAAAACATTAAAAAAAATTCAATTTTATTTCTCATATCTAGGTAAATATCTGGATTGGTTGCCTTCACTTAAAAAATGTTATTGCTTTCTCGTCGTATATTAGTGTCGACACAAATATAGACATATAAAAAAAAAGATTCTTTTCATAAATATCTACTATTATTAGTCTAATGAGTTTAGTTGGTAAAAATAATTAAGTACATACGTTTAATATGTCGGCTAGTAGGCCAAATGTATGTAATCTTTTGTGCTCTGATTTGATAGATTCTTTTTACCCACACATGTGTTATATCGTTGCAACAAATATTGGAAGCAGTTGGGTTCTTTGCTGTTCTATTTCTTTTTCTCTTTCGTCGACAAACAATAGGTTTCTTTGACGCGAACCGATAAGAAAAAAATGAAGCATGGAAAAAAAAAAGAAAGAAAAACGTAAGAATTATAGACAGACATTTTTTAGAGCATAAAACAAGGAAGAAAGAACAGAGAGAAATTCGGGTGAAAAGGGACAATTTTCATTTTGTGGTAATCGCTGTCTATGTCATTAATACTCGTAGAATAATAACAATAATATATATATATCGGTTGCTCCATAATGATTACAATATGCTTTATTTCGCATATATCTCGGTTTGAAAAAATGATAAAATCTTGAGGTTTTTTTTACAGATGCATCATGAAACGCCCTACAAAAACTATATTGGGTGTGGGTGTGGGTACAGAAAATACAAACACTATATCATCCACACCGACATCCGTATCCCACACCCACACCCCTTTATATAATCATTATAAAATTCATTTCTTTTTTATCTTTTACAGTGAGAAAGTAGAACTTAATCTCATATTGAGATTTAATTGACCTTTTTAACAATTATTGAGAAATATTAACTCTGAATCAGTACACATAAATGAAGTGTAGAAATGATTGTAAGCCATACGGATGTTTTCACGGTTATCATCTTCAGACTAATGGTCTTTTTCAAACGAAAAAAATCATCAGAATCATAAAGGTCTGAACAATTCTCTACTTCAGAATTATATATATTCTTGAACGGGTCATCCGTAGTTTTTATTTGTTTTTTAATTGATTCTATGAAAACGTTGGAAATCTCTGTAGTTTTTTGTAACAATAAACGATTAAAATAATGCAATTAGGCTAGTATCAACAGTTCTACTACTAGAGACATCGACTTAATGATAACGATAAAAATCAATCATTTAAAAGATTTTTAACGGGCCTATTTCATGGACTAACATCCACAAAAAATACAGGCATCCTTGAATCGATCGAAAGTTAGTGTATCTGGTAGAGTTCGATGAATTGGATTCATAGTAAAAGAACTTCGCTTACACGATGATTTCTGCAGAGAGATATAGTTGCAAAAGTTAAACAAGGAATTCAGATAGTCATAAAAGTAAATCATTCGATCGATAAGAAGAAAAATGTAATTTATAGCTTGAATGAAATCAAATCATATAAAGTTGAAAATGATTTTTCTTGTTCTCTCAATAATAAATAGACCTCAACCACAGTTACATGTGGAACAATTTGACGAGGAATTCATTCTATCTCTAGAAACAAAGATTATAGATGATAAACTATGAGATATATAATTAGTTAGATATGTTTTAATTGCCTCATATGTCGTATTTTGTTGTGTGAGTCTATGTTATTTCGTCTTTAATTGAAAAATTGAAGGCATAATTAGGAAATAGTCATTAGAGACTATTTTGTTCCCTCATATTGAATGAAAGATGATCAGATGAACGTATTTTATAAGAATATCGATTCAAAACTGGAAACAAATCAAGATAGTAGTTAGAGTGCGTCAGCTATTCGACCAAACTACTGTCATCAAAATCAGCAAAATTTGATCTATGTCAGTCACTGCATCGCGGCCCACAAATAGATATCTGAGTTGGCAATTCTCCCGGTTCGAAGTTTGAATTTCACAGACGTCTGTGCTTGATCTTTTATCGATGTATTCTCTATCATCATTGCTTCGGTTTTTCTGTTTAAAAATTTGCAAAAACAAAAACAAGCCTTCGAAAATTTTCAGCCATCGTCGTCGACCTCTATAACGACATACTCCCCTATGTTTTATCACTTTCATAAGATCGGTCAAAGATCATCAAATAAAAGAAAGGAAGAAGGAGAACATGACAAATTCATAGAATGGTTGTTTTTTTATCAAATGAATTTTGATGTTGGAAAAAATGCTTATCAACCGTCAGATATTAGAAGTAGGTTTTTATGCGTCAGCACCTGCTTGAATTACGCTTCTTCACAAAAACAGTGTTTGTTGTGCAAGATCAAAAAGGAAAAATCTTTTTTTCCAACTGAGATTTAGTCAGACGGTAGAACAGAATAAAATACTTCACGGAATTGTGTAAGAGATTATGTTTCTTTTTTATATATGAGCTTGCCTACCCTGTCGTAAACAAAAAAGATCATGCTGTGACATTGTAATGTTTTGCATTTGCGCATAGTATTCTTGAGCTAAATAAGTAAGTAGAGTTTCTTCCTTTTCGCATATTACCTTATGCAAACTTGATAGAAAAATAAAATCTTGGTGTCTTTCCCAAAACGATGACAAAAGTTACATTGTTTGTGCACGTTCTTTGATTATTTTATGACAAATAATTTCAGAAGGCTTCATATATATATTTTGTCAAGGTGAACAAACTATTTCGGAAGTAAAATTAATAGCTGAGTTTACACGCATACGAGACACAAACAGACGTACATTTCCATAATTTTCGATCCTTCGCGCGAGTTCTGCAGCAGCTTCCAGAATTTATTTTTTCGAGATTTTTTTTGAATTCATCCAGATTTTTCTATTAAATCCTGCTATATATTTTATAATCCGATAGAAGGGGCTAGGCTAAGGGTGAAGGCAAGAACGACGCTCAAAGTGACATATCAGCTAAGGAATGCGCTAGTTTAATCAAATTTAATAACTTCTGGTATATTAAGGAGTCTGTGTCACAAACAGAAAATTTGCATCTGCACGAAAAATAACAGTCAAGATAAGCACTTCTGATTACCATATTATACTGCATTTTCACTATTTTAAATCTTAATTACTGAGTATCCATCGTGTGATCTACAAACCTCTCGAGCAGATACAACATATGTCAGGTAATAACAGATGATTCAAGGTTTTGGCTAAGAAATCGAAATGTGTAAAACCATTGATCGATTACATACTACTGATAATTAATCAACGTTCTTGGTCACGTCGATTTTCAGTCAAAATTTTGACCATTTATCATTACTTGATATATGTCAACGTATAGAAAATGATTATTTGAGAAAATACTTCTGGAAAGTCATTCCAACGACCCTGTAACAGTGTCCTACAAGAACGAAAACGACATAAAATATTAATGTTCCTGAAATTCTTTTATCTTGTTTATATATATATATATATATATATATATAAGATATGTTTATGTAATAGTTTTCTATTTTTAAGTAAGTGATCAACTACCTCTACCTACAAATTGAACAGAAATCAGAATTTCAAAAGTGCTGTGGGTAAAAGTCTAAGCTGCCGACACAGCCGATAGTAGAAAAGTTTTTGAAATACCTCAACTGCGGATGAGATCCATCGATTGGCTCATATCCCTACTTACGGAAACGGAAATAAATGAATGCCAGTCCTATGAGACTCTTACTCATAATTTTAGCAAGCTTCTCTTTGGCAGAATTATCTTAAACAACATGATTTTCTAAATAAATAACGAATCATCGAGCTTTCTACAAATGAATATGTAGGATTTCCGTACTGACTAAATGAGTCGATATGGATGATACAATTCTGTCTGGATTAAGCTGATGTTTCCCATAGGCTCCTTTTCATGTGCACTGAATTTGAGCTAAGAGTACTGAAGCGTTTGTTTGACTTGCATAAGTGAAACTACAGTAATCAGTCACACTGGATTAGATGAAATACATAATAGCTGATGTCGGTTTAATATAACATATATTACAAAAGACGATTTTTTAACACTAAATTTATTATTTGTTTGTCATTTCAGAAGAATGACACCATTGCAGGAAAGAGAAGACGTGATCAAAGCATGTGAAAAAATTATTGAACTCCTGGAAACTCAATTAGCTACTCAAGATGAATTGACGTCAACCGAATCGTCATCTCAAGTCGTCACTGTTGATGAGAATGATCTAAACTTCTTCGCATCTTCAACCGATGTTGAATCGTCGATGATTGATCTAACTGAGAAAATTCAATCTACTATTGTTAATATGCGTCCTCAGCTTTCGGAATTAATTTACAATTACTTACTGGATACTTTATATCCGTTTCATTTTGAAGACACTCTCTTCACCCAGCCATTAAGATTGAGTATTTTACCATCCTTCAAGCAATTGTTAGATACATTTATTGCTTCTCTCAAAGCCTATACTGCAGCAGAAGAAGGAAATGTAACTGGTGTGAGAGAATTTCTCGATACTTATCCATCGTACAAGAATAAACCACTGCTTAATGGATTCACATTGATATACATAGCTGCTGCGAACGATCATCTTTCTGTCGTCAAATGTTTGGTAGAAGAAATCAACTGCTCCGTCAATGCACAAAATCAAGTTAGTACTAGGTTAACAAATTGACAGTTTTTGGATAAAACAGATTTTTTCTTATTTAAGATAAGGTACGACCAAAAACGGCTGATCTCTCTGATGTTTAAGTGAATCCACAAGAAAGCAGCTTTTAGGAGATGTACGAATTCCAATATAGTACTCACCTATCTCGAATTTATCGGCGTGGACATATATGATATTTAAAGTTTTTCTGCTAAAAAAATTCTCACTGAGCTCGGAAATGAAAAACATATGCTCCTACTCATGTCTATTCAAGCGTTGCTTTGGTTTTCTTTTTCTCATCATTGAAACTCCAAAGTCTTCTATCGCAGTGAGTTAAACAATAGGTCATCGATAAAGGCATAGATGCATCAGAATGTTCATGTTCTAGGTTAGAATCAAAGACGCTGAATGAATCTCTATGATTGTCGTGAGGAGTGGACGGTATCCTTCGATCTTCAGAACCTTAACGTGTATTTGTTCGCCAATTCAAAGAAAGTCACTTATATTCTGTGTGCAGGGCATTAAAAAAATTAATGACCTTCCAAAACTGTTTGATATTTCTCGAAATCTTTGACCTTTCACACCTGCGATCTTTGGAAATTTGCCACAGTCCTTAGTATCTTTAGGAAAAGTGCTTTACCTATCAAATAGTCAGACGTTCATTTTCTAGCATTCAATGATTAGTATACAGGAGTACTTTGTTAGCTACATAGTATTCAAGCCATAATTTTTGCTGAAAGTTCCCCAAGAATATTGTCTTCACTAGAGTACCAGTGCATTTTATGCTCATTACGTAGTTCTCTTTTCTGATCATATGATAGTTGCATATGCTTGAATTTGCATGTTTTATGGTTATTTTCAGTATTATTTTATGAAATAGTGCCTACCATCCTTTAATATCAGTCTTCTCTGACGATGTCCAAGAAATTTGTGTTTGAAGATTTATATAAAATTTTTATGATTTACTGCGCAAGGCAAGCTAAAAGTACACTTTGAATTCTACGAAAATTAGAATGTAGACTTATACTTCTATTTCAATGAAATAAGGATTATCTATTTTGGTTGTTCTAGAGTGATAATACGTCTGAGTATCGAGCCGCGGGTTCGACAGCACTGCATAATGCATGTGCTGAAGGTCGATCAGATCTTGTAAGTTATCTATTGTCCAAAGGTGCCAACTGTTATATTGAGAACATCAAGAAAGAAAAACCTATCACATACATCAATAACAATTCAGTTCTGTTAGATATATTTCGGCAACATTTAATCATCAGTTATATCGATCCGACATCAAAAGTCTTACCCACAATCCCAATCAGCCAAGAAAAATCAATCATTAGTGATTCAAAATCAGTCTACGACTGTATTTGGGAACACAAATCATTGCAGCAGAGAAGTTGGATACGATTCTCACATGAAGAATCTGATCAATTGAGTGATTCTCTAGTTGATTCATCGAAACTGAAATTCGACATAACTTTAGATATGAGTATAGAAGGACAGATGTATAATATTTCAATGATCAAATTTCTCAAGTCTAGTAATAACAATTACATAAATGGAAATCAAGCGTGGATTAGATGTCGAGGTTCAAGCTATCTTAATTTCAATATTGTACCAATATGGCAAGTCATGCTTACAAAGCATCCATCCAAAATTGATGAAAAACATTCAATTGCAGAATTAAATATCTTAGAAGTTCCTAGCATTTTCGATGTACATAATTTCAAATATCAGCTCAATTCTTGGTATTATTGTGATGCATCATTCAGCCAATCAATTGATCAAGCAATGGATAAACATGTACGACAAGTCACACTTCGAACTGTGTTTCTTGAAGATTCTATAACGGTTAACTTTGAAACATTTTCATTTATCAATGAAACTTCGACTGTTGAGGGATTTATTCGATGGCTACCGAAATTTGTCACAGTCGATCCTAAAACAAAACGCATAACTTCCATCAATAATTTTCAAGCCATAACATTAAAAATGTATCCTGTAGTACTAACAACTAGCATTTTGAAAGAGGCATCCGATGCATATCAATCCCGACAAACTACTGTTGCTTTTGAGGATGATACACACATTGAATCAGCAGATGATCACGAGCAAGGAATACAAGCTGACTTTATTGATGATGAAAATAATGAAAATGAGAACGTCAATTCAATTTATCGACCATCATTAACAGCTGGCCAAATGAAGAAAGATGAAAAAGATGATGATGAAGAAAACGATATAAATGAGATAATGGATGATGTACGTCCAAGTACAGCTGGTACCAATCGACAATTGGCGGAAAATGAAGTTACTGACAAGCACCATGAGCTTGATGTGATGAAGGCTGAAATCAAACAACACCAAAAACAGCTTGAAGAACTACAGTCCAAACTCAATGCAAAAAAATCGCTAACAAGTAACGAAGAGAAGAACATTAATTTGATACAAACAATTTTAGGAGTTGAGGGCGAACCTTCTCAAGAACTCTTAACTAGTCGAAAGGAATGTGCCAAATTTCAAGAACAATTAGAGCTACGACAAATCGAACTTGACAATCTTCGAATGAAACAAAACAATTTTGAACAAGAATTGAAGAATGCACGGATCAAACTGAATAATATTAATCATTTGGAAAATCTTAAGAAACAAGCTCTCATTGATTTAGTCTCAATCGAATACAACTTTGTTGTAAAAGATTATACACCTATCCAACAAAAGGTCGTCTCAGATTATCTCAAATCACTTAAATATCCAGATAAAAATGAACTAAAAGATAATCTTATAACTATTGATGATCTTAGTAATCAATGTAAGGATGGTCATTATTTATGGCGTCTTAAAGCTTATCCAATGCATCACGACGAGATGGAGAATATTCAAAAACGATTAGAAAAACTAATATATACAACTCAATCGCAACAAGAGTATCACAATCGCGTTTCAAAGAGACTTGTACGAAATTTTCTCGACAAATGTATTAAACCGGTTGAGTATCATAGCGTAAGACCAATCAGTACAAGAGATAATTGGAAAATATTTTCTGATTATCTTATTAAATTAATTAATGATGAACGTGAAAAACTAAGCCAAATTTTTATTGAACGTATTCATAAAAAATGTAAATCACTGGTTGATTTATCTATAAAAAATGTCCATAACTGGCAACGACAATTATATGATGATACAAATGATTTTATTAAACAATATTCAGTACTGAACTCAATTGAGCAGATGAAGCAAAAGACCTTTCAACATTTTGTAGAAGATGCTAAGATGAAATCAAATCAGTCTGTTGGACCAGTGAAAATCGAAAGAAAATCAGTCGATGTTCGTGGTACGTGAAAATCTTTTCAGTTACTTTGTTTTTCATTTTTGTTTTTTGTATCTATAGATCGGCATTTATTGAAACTTCAACAACAGTTCGAATCACAGTCTCAATATGCAGGTCATGAATTTAAACATTTTAATTTGATTCCATCTTTACTTGAACGTGTGCATATCTATTGTCGGTGTTTTCAACTAAGTTTGCCCTTGTTTGATTCATCTTTTAATCTGCTCGATAACATTGAACGAAACACTGTTGTAGCCATATCAACTGGAACAGGTTCAGGAAAATCGACACTTATGCCTGCATTACTTGCCGCTGATAACTATGATAAGATCTTCGTAACACAACCACGTCGTTTACCTTGCAATTTACTATCGTCACGTGTCAATTCTTGCATCACATCAATCAGTGGATGGGCTGTATCAGGTTCACGATCAACTAGTGCAACTCATAGTCCTATACTCTATCTTACAGATGGATTACTCAAAGAATATCTATTATACCGAGAAAATGATATACTCCGTCAAGCTAACAGAGCCCACCGAGGGATTATATTTTTTGTAGATGAAGTGCACGAGCGTTCAATCAATATTGATCTATGTTTGGCACTTCTTGCTCGACTTCTCACTGTTCATCCAGATATACAAACAAAGGTGAAAATAATTATTTCATCGGCTACACTCGGTCCGGATGTTTCAACTTTATTTCATCGGTTTCGATTTCATCAAGAAACACTCGTCACTCGTGAACTGCATACTATTAAAATTAAAAGTTCTGATGAGAATATGTTCGATCTAATACATCGACTTACGGAAGACTGTAGTCGTAGCGATCAGATTCTATGTTTTGTTAAATCAACACTTGATGTCAATCAATCAATAAAACTTCTTAGATCTATCAAAAAGCGGAGTTCAAGTCCCTTGGTACAATCACAATCAGCTGCAGAACAAGAGCGGCTCATTCAAACTAAACAAATCTTTTTTTCGACAACCGTGGCTGAAACTTCACTTACATTTCCTAGTTTGAAGTATGTAGTTGACACTGGTGTAATCAATATGCCTGTATATGATGCCACGGAAGATTCAACTGTACTTCGTGAGATTCCAGCTGCTGAGTCAACAATAAAACAACGGCAAGGTCGTTTAGGTCGTACTCAAGGTGGTGAATATTTTTCTTTGTATAAACATGATCCAGCGGATAAGAAATATCCTACACCACAAATCTGCCAATCCGAATTAAGTAATATTGAATTTTCACTTCGACGTTCACCATTAAAGCAAGGGCTTAATTATTTGAAACAATGGCTTCCAAATCCACCTAATGATCAAGTTATAGAACTTGCTATTAAACGTCTTCAGAACCTTGATATTCTTGATAAAACTGGAATGTTCACAGCAATTGGATTGAATATGGCACAATTACCAGATTTCGGTTCTCTTGCAATATCAAAAGCGGTATTAGCTGGCTTACAAACATTTAATTGCGGACGTGATCTAATTCGACTAGCTTCTATTTTGGGTGTTCTTAACACATCATCAATTCTACAGTCTATTCCATCACAATTTAAACGAGCTGAAGGTGATTTTATGACACTACTAACCATTATGGACGCTATATTAGCTCAAAAACGAATTGTACCACCGCATATTTTCGATATCAATATTGTATGCAAAGATTTGAATCTAACTTCAATTAGTCATATTTTAAAACGGGCTCTCTTACGAAACACATCGTTTGAATCATTTTTCAATCATTCATTAGAATATCGTGTTGCATCTCAAATATCATCAAATGATTGGTGTTCTATTGCAAAATCACTTTTGGTTGGTTTCTTCGATAATGTTTATTTATCCCAAGCAGAATTACAAGGAAAGTCACATTCTTTTTATCGTTATAATATTTATCCAGTACGAAAAAATCAACAAGAGATTGCTGTAATTGATAGATCTTCAACTTTAGCTCGTTCAGTCAAATCAATTCCTGTATCATTAATACTTGTACGTGACATTCATTGTTCTACAGCTGTACGAGCCACATCTATTCTCTCATTTATTGGAGAAATCCAAGCCGAATGGATTAATAATTCACTTCAACGAGAATTTAACATAACCAGTTCCGAAAAACAAAAGTTTGAACATGAAATTAAATCGAATTCCACATTTCAATCATTATCAAAAAATATTCATATTCAATTGAATGATAAAAAAATATTACTGAGTGGTATTGCCGGCGAAGTTCTCATTACTGAACTATACATACGTAAACATTTAATATCTAAAAATAAGACATCACTGTTATTGGATAGTGAAACACGCGAAGGTCTCAAACGTAACGTTGCCAATCTCGTTAACACTTTGCATATTTTTCATCCAATGATATGGCGATGGAACGCAGAAAAACAAGTAATTATAACCTTTCGTAAAGTAGGAAATGGATGTGAAGTTATAATAGAAGCACGTGAGCAAGAATTTACAAGCGTTCGAAAAGAACTTGATTGTTTTATTGGTTGGCTGAAAGATTGTGTAGTTTTACATCTATATTCGGGAATTTCACCACGTCAACTTAAATCACGTTCACCTACGATTGAAGAACGTATTGCTCGTCTTACTGATATAAAATTAACATCTGCAGATCTATGGTCAAGTATTCGTGGACCACAAGCAACACGTGAATCACGTATGGAAGTTGTTGCATGGATAGCTATATGCAGATTTTATTGTAAACTCGAGGGTGGTTTTGTTCGTGATTGGGTTATCGATAATAAACGAGCACGACCTGCTAATACTAATCCTTCTACATGGATACACATAGGATATAATAAACTGCCATATTTAGATCCATTTGTTATACCTTCTGATCTTGATTGTCATTTACCATTAGATAGATATTTTGATATTGAACGATTTCTTGATGAAATTTATAAGTTTGAAATTGAAACGAAAGTATTTCGTCAGGATTGGCGATATGTTCTTCTTTTTGATGAACATTATCCAACGGGTCCTTTTACAATGGATCTAATTGAACCACATGTAGCACTTACACATAATCGAATTGATTTTGATGTAAATAACTTATATGTCGAACGAGATCATACTAAAGATCTTGGTCAACGTGTTGATCTACATGAACCACCCTGTTCAATTGATCTTGAACAGACTGTTGAAAATATTCAGAAAAAATATTTTCGCGTTCTTCGTGATGTTGACCAACTTATTCAAAGTCGTATTGACAAAATGATTAAACGTGGATGGACACAACATGGAGAAACATTATCATTTATTCCAGCACCATCTAAGAAGGATACATTTGTTGAAGCTGATTTACCTTCTGAAACATCACGTTATCAAAAAATTGTTGAAGACTTTAAGAACATTGTAAATGCGCGAATTATTCAGATTACACAACTGCGTAATCCTGATTTAGAAAATGCCTATGAAGCCAATAAAAGACTCATTGCTAATGAATGTCCTAGCAAAGATCCTAATGAATGCTTTTTATATCATGGCACAGGAATAGATAATGCAAAAAGTATTATGGAAAAGGGTTATGACAATAGATATTTTTCTACTTTTGGTCTTTATGGTAGTTTTATTACGATCTGCTTTACTTCTAAACTGGTTTTCTTTCCTGTTGATTTTAGGTCGCGGAGCGTATTTTGCTGATAATCCGGCTAAATCACACGATTACACAAAACTGAGTAATTACAGTGGCACATCGCGAATTATATTCTACAACAAAGTTGTTTTAGGCATTCCAGAAATATTGAATACTACCGATACTACACGAATGGCAGCAAAAGTTGATCATCATTCAGTACAAGGTACTGCTAATCCAATGACAGAATATATCGTGTATACTAATGCTCAAGCCTTACCTTTTCTTAAAATCACATATGATACCGGCTCATAATTTAAATTTTCATCTGCAGATCAAGTTATGATCTTAAACAAATTTTCAATAAACACTCTATTATAATCTAGATAATATTGATTGTCGTTTTTTTTTCTTAGTTTCTTGATAAAAAAAAGTTTGATTGAATTTGAATAAAAATTAAAATCAATGTATGACACTGAATATACACGAATAACATTATGAGAATATCAGTGTGGCTAACGGTATGAGGAAAAAGAAAGTTAATCCTATTGAGAATAGATTTTGAAAAATGTGTCTTTTGAGAAAATATCTTTAATAATTTAATCAAAAAAGAAATTACAGTAAATTAAACAAATCCATTCAAACAAAAAAAAAATAATGAAAGATAGTTGGTATAAAATGAGAACCAATCATTTTTTTTGTCTCTTTTCAAAATTTTTTCATGTCGAAAGCATGAAAATAATTTTTTAAAAGAATCAAAACTTTTCGCTATTGAACTGGCGAGTATGACAGAAAGAGCTGTTTATAATGGTATCATTTTTCTTGATGATGAATTATATGTACGTGAACCACGCATATAAAATACTTTTTGTAACTCAATCGATTAATCTTAAATGTGTATTAGGTTGTGGGTGTGGGTGTGGGCGTGGGTGTGGGTGTGGGTGGGTGTGGTGTGTGGGTGTAGCGGTATTGACTTTGCTAATGTGAACATCAGTAAAAGGCGGTACTTGAATAAATTACATAATTGGAATTGTGGAGATGATTATCAAGAAATAAATTGGCTCTATGATTTAATTCAATCCAAGTGGAAAAAGACAAACAGATATCGTTAGCCTTTTGAACAGCTTCTTAATCGTTACCTATCAGATATGGTATCTCGAGATGCTCTTGATTTACAACAAAAAAATGATTTTAATCAAAAATTAAAAAAACTCGGTTTATTTCGTTGTGAATTAAAAGATAAATTGTAAGTGTCCATGAGTGCTCTACCAAATATTCTTAAAAGAAAAAAAAAAGAATATATTACTGATTATGAAACTAATCTAAACAAAAAGATGAATCATGATTTCTGTTAAACTATCAACGATAGTGTTTAAACCTGATTAGGCAGGACATGAACGTGATGTTTGAATTTCATCTAGTTAAAAAAATTTAAAATACTAAAAGTGAAAAAACTATTTAATAAAACAATAAAAAACACTTAAAAGGATGCAGACAATGATAAAACTGATATTTTAATTTATATTTGCTTGACCTTCTCATTTTTGTGAACACCTTGCTGTACTGAACGATATTCGTCAGTTCCGATGGTGTTCACAATGTAGAAGTTTTGCTGTAAATCTATGTGTCTTGTTAAAGAAGATGTCGTTTAAATAAAAACAATAGAGACTAGAAAATCTTGAAGAATTAAAAATGAAATGATTAGTGATTAAATGAATCTCACTATTTCTTTTATTATTATATGTATGAAAAAAAAAGAACCATTATTTTATGTTTAAGCTATAACAACACGTTGTGCAATACCAACAGAATTCGGTGATGGTGCACCTAAATCATCAAATATTGTAAGTAAATTATTTTCCGACATAAGTCAATTCGATGGAATATGATAATAACGTTGAGTTGGTTGTAAACAATTAATTTGTGCTTGTGGACAACAACATGGTGTTGAATCATGACACACACCTTGTAATAACCAATAAAGACCAAGATCATTTCCACTAATAAATGCATGACCACGATTAAGACGTTGAGCATCAAGTAAAATAGGATTAGTATTTAGATCTTCTCGTATAATATGATCGAGATTAAATCTTGCTTGAAACCATGTTATTGGTTTATTAATACCCTTTGTCCATTGTGTATTCCATTCAACTTTCGATGAGCCTTGTTCTGTATAAATTTGAAAATATTCTCCAACTAAACCTTTTTGATGTTCCCAAAGATTTGTTTGATCATTTATTAATAATTGATCATTAAGCCATATATTTCCCACAATACCTTTATAATCAAAATTATTTTCCCATATATCATTATTAATACCAAGTGAAATAGAGAGAATTTCAAATAAATATTGTTGATTTGATTTAAATGTTGAAAGATCCAATGATATTGTTGCTGTTAATGAACCTTGACTATGATCATGATTATCAAATTCACCTAAATATTTTCCATTTAAAAAGAATAATAATGCATTTGCTTTACGTGTTTCAACACGAACTAACGTATGTGATTGTGTTTGTGTTAATGTTACATTACGACGATACCATAAATAAATTGTTTCATCATTTGTTATTTTAAGTTGTTCTATTGGATTTAGTGAAGTAAGAATAGGTAAATTTGATGTAACTGCTTCTCACCATGTTCGCCATTCAAGTGGACCAATAATAATAGGAAAAATTTCAGTATTATCACTTCGAATATCACTTACATTAGTACTATCCAATAATAAATTTAAATTATTGTCAAATATACGTACAGAATGACCAGTTATAGAAATATTTTTATTACGAAAAAGTACACCGAATGTATTATTATTTTGATTACAAATAAAATGAAGTGATGGTGGATAAGAATAAACAAATTGTTCAGTACCTATTGACCATTTTTGTCCATCCTAATATGGTAATGATGTACGAGTAGAATCTTGACTTAATAAAACTTGAGCATAATTAGTAATTAAATGTTGAAGACGACTTAATTGAGTATATTTTGGTTCATTTGGTATACCATCAGCATGAAGAAGTGCATCATCAGAATACATTGTTGTTATACCTGATGCAGCTGTACGTCCATAATTATTTCCTCCATGCCACATATAAGATGAATGATAAGAACCATCACCAGCAAACCATTCAGCAACAGAATAAGCAAAATCAGTTGTTGTACGAATAGCAACAGCTTGACCTCATGATTGAAACCAGCTTTCATTTTCAGTAAATAACATTGGTTTATTTGAATAATCATGTAGATGACGATCAATCCAACCATCATCTAAACAATTACATGAATTACATGTTTCAATTGTTGAATTAGCTGCATGACCATTACACAGAATCCATGGAATTTCTGTTGATGAAAATTCATTTTCAATTTGAGCAAGAATAATAGGACCGCCATTTTTAGCAAGATATGGATTAATATATTCAATAATCTTCATTAAAAATTTACGCATTACACTTTTCTATGCATCATTATTTGAACGAAATGATATATTAGATATTTGATTAAGTCAAACAGGTAATCCACCATAATTCCATTCACCACATATATATGGACCCATACGTAAGTAAATTAACAAATAAACCAGCATCATCAGCATCTTGAAGAAATTGACTTAAATTAGCACGACCACTAAAATTAAATACATTTGCTTTTTGTTCATGTAGATTCCAAAATATTAATGTTTGAATGGTATTAAGACAATGTATAGCACCAGATATAAGCATTGTTCGAACACCATTAATTTTAACAGCTCGATGATCATATGAAACATTGTAAGGTGTATCTCGAACATTTTCGTAAGTAATTGGACTTGTAACTATATAAGTCAAGAAACTAAGACACACGTATATTAATAGTAACCAATGCATCTTTGTATTTGAAGGTTTGGTTGAAAATACTATGCAATATAAATAGATGATAATTTCTTGTTTACCTTCTTCCTTACCTAGTATTCTTGTTTGAAGTGAGAAAGAAAAAAACGTGCACATGATAAACATGTCACTAAGAATAAATCGAGACTTGAAGAGAAGGAGAAAAAACAATAGATAGACAAGTGGTTTGTCGCCAAAGGATGCGTGCACAAAGCGTTTAGTTAGATGGGTGTGGGTGTGTGGGTTTAGATGTGTCTTTTCTCCATCCACACCCACACCCATACCCTCAAGTTATGTTTACCTTTTCATCGATGAAATGTGGACGAAATTTCGTAGTGACGACGACGATATCAATGCACCAATCTTGTAGTCAATTTTTTTCGCTTTTTCTAAGTGTGATAGAATAAAAAAAACATTTTGTCATGAAATTCACAAATTGATCTTTCCTTTCATATTCTTATATATACATAGACATGCGTTGCACTTGTGTATTTGATACAATCATTCGTATTTTTTTTTTCATTAATCATAATGCAACCGTTGATATACTCATTAGTTTTCGTATCCGTTTTTCTTTTATGTGGTAAGATAAAGAAATTTATATATGATATTTTTTTTTTAATTAGATTCTTTTACTTTGTTTAGTACCAGCAATATCAATAGAAGATGTTAAACCTGTTTCAAAATTTTCAAGACAAAATTTTGTTGCATCACCGAGTTATTCAAAATTATTAACACTTTTGAAAAATCGAGAAACAAAATTTTATGAAAATGATGATGACGACAACAGTAGCGATCAGAATGATGATGGCATCTCACGTGAAACAAAACAATTAACATCAGTAAATCGACGATTTTTTCTTTTTTCTGTTCAACCTACTACTCGTCGAAATCGACCATATTATATCTATGGACGAAAATCTCATTGGGATACATTTTTTGGATAAAAATAAATAATTCTATTATATAATATATTTAATATTCTAGTTCGCATCTATTCATGCAAACAATATATTGGACATGAACTAGTTTTATTCAAATCTATCATTTCAAAAGTAATTCATTGTTTTTATTCGTTTTAATTTTTGATTTTTTCCTTTCTTGCTTTTTAAATATTTGCATTTGAAAAGAAAAGTGAAAACTTCAAGAAGGTTTTGAATAACAATGATCAACAATTGTAATGATTGCATACGACGAAGTATGCTATCTTATTTACTTATGCTATTTCTCATTCAACACAAAAGGACTTCTCTCCACACAATAAACATGAAATCTGTGTTCTCTTGAAAAAAAAATCCTTCGCGTTTAATGTCGTATTTGAATTAGTCTAGAAAACAAAATAAGAATTATTCATTATAGAATAAATAATTTTAACATACTGCTCGATTTAATCTAAAAGAAATGACAACATTTATTTTTAAAATAAATACTTACTGTATAATTTGTTATTTCATTTAATCTAAATCAGAAAAATCATGTTATTTTTTATATTCATATGGAATCGAATAACATATTGAATTGTAAGTAATTATTTATTTAAAAATAAATACTTGGTATTTAATCTGTTATTCTATTCAATCTAAATAAGAAAAA